GGGGAAGCCGCTTTCGTTTCCTCGGCCGCCGCCGCCGGAGGGCCGCGCAGCGGAGCGCTGGGAGTTGTAGTCCGCGCCCGGCCGCGCCGCCCGGGCCCCACTCCTAGGCCGCGCTCTGGTTCGCCGCGGGCAGCCGGCCCTCACAGCGGCCCCGCCAAAGGCAATGTGCCGGTACTCGTCCGGAGAGCCGTATGGCCTTCGGGTTCAGGAGCTGCGGCAGCCTGCGAAACGGGGCCTCTCCCTCCGGTCCCCTAACGCCGCCTGCGATGGGCTCTCACCACAGATAGAAACAATAAATACTTAACTATGTCCTGCAGGTGTTCAGTTTGAAGATTTGGGAAATCTCCTCAAAAACTCTACAGAACCTGTCAATAAAAGGCAAAGTACTTCAGTCTCCATCTAACAGAGGAGCCACTTGAAGCTGGGACTCCTATGCAGCAAGTTCTGTAACCAATAGATTACTGGGGAAAAAACAGCAAGGCAAAACTTATCCCCATTTATTTCCTTGTATCCCTATCTATTTCAGCACATGCTGCAAGTGTGGGAATACAGACAACGACAACGGAACAATGAACAGGGCCCTGTGCAATTTAATCACTTAACTGCTTGGCACTACTAGGACAGCCACATCTATATGCTGCAGGAACTTTTCTGATGAAAATGAAGACTGGATGCTCTAGTTTTCAGTCTCATACTACCAATTTGTTTGTTTGGTATTGCAGTACAGACATTTTTGACTGCATTCATTCCAAGATTATCTGCACCTAAATTCCTGAATTTAACAGGGAGAAGCAGCCTGGATGCTGCATCTCTGGGTTAGAGGAAGAGTGTGCCACATGCCTTAATGCTACAACATTAATGCTTAGTGCTAAACTGTAAGAACACCTGTCTCAGAGGTGGGAGACAGGCATTCAAGGCCCAAGTACACCTGCAATGATGAGACAAAGCATGACTTCTATATCAGAGGAGGACATCTTAAACTGTTAAGCACAGCATTCTGTTTCTCACCTGTTTCACTTCAGTTCCCACAGTTATGTTATCCTGTTATAGTGAAGACCCTGAATAAACGTTATTGTTGAAAACATATAGATAAGGTAGTTGCCTTGCAGCCTAGTTATTGCAAATATAATTTAAGTATTGAAGACTAGTTACCCAAGCCTCGCAGATAGTGCTAAATTTAATCATCCCTTTTAAAGATGTTGTGTAGGTCGTAAATTCCTATTCCCCTGAGTTTAAAGGAATTTACTAGCCTAAAGAGAAGGAGGTGATGGATAGTGGACCATTTGGTGCTTTGACCTATCTCTCAAGGCCTTAGGTGTCAGTACTCCTAGCTTCTTATCTCAGCTTGCCAAGGACTGGCTTCGTGGATAATTTGTCACGGGACTCCAACCAAACTTGAAGATAATGAGCAAAAATAATTAGGAAGAAACCCAGATGTAGTAAGGCTTGAATCCAAAAAGAAAAGCGCATGTGCAAACTTAAGAGGTTAATTACAGGTGACGATGAAGACGGTGGGGTTACTACAGGAGATGGTGAAGATTCCTCTCTGAGACCCCCGACGACCACCACCACAAAGCTCTGCACAGATGCGAAGGGGAGGAGACCTAATTTTAATACGAAGCGGGGAAAGATCATGCATATGTATAGGCATTTTGTATTAGCCAATGAATATGTATAGAAACACACTTTAAATATAGAAAGCTCATTGCCTGAGGGCGCACACGGTTTGGAGGGTTACCCCCGTGTCGCCCGGCGCTGAATAAACATACCTACTTTACAACTTCTCTAAGTTGTGGAGTCTCTTTTCCACACGTCAATCCTGGATATCTGTACTTATTTTTTGCCAATGGAAAAGCAAAACTTACACTGGAAAGCAAAAGTTGCACAATAGCCTTTACTTATTTTTTTCCTCCAAACTCAGGTTCTCATAATACAGTACTAGGCAAACTCCTTGAAGATGCATACTGTTCCTTAGCAGCAGTTTTAATATATTTTAGAGATTATAGTCTTGACTTAGAACAAAAACATCTTGATCCAAGATAACTGCAATATTAAGAGGTTTTTTAGAAGTCTTGTTTAGCCAGGAGGAGACGTCAAACAAGAAACATGGGTAAATCATTGTTGTAATTTATTCCTAGGCAGCTCCAGGCTTCACCCATCACTACTGACCTGCCACATTTTAACAGCTATGTAAGACTTAATACCTTGCTGCACTGGCACAGAACATTTCATGTGTGTTCATAATCAGACACTTCCTCCAGCACTATTTCGCATATTAGACTGACCCACATCTTTTGGGAGATGGTGCAGCAGCAATTGCAGGCTGCCTTTTCCATGTTCAAGTGACTTACACATTAGCCAAGTTCTCAAATCCATTTAAAGCATTAAAAAAGTCAATTAAAACTAAGAGGGAAAAAAAAAAAGCAGGGAGGGGCACAGGCGGGACAGACCAAAAAGGTTAGGACTGAACTAGACTTGCACATTCATACCACAGCAGAATAGTGGGATATTTCTAGCAAGCCACTGGAAGTAACAAGTTATTAATTGCTATGGTGAAACAACAACATTTTCACAGATAAAACCTTAGTGAGGGAGCTCACACATTTTATAAAACATAGACTAGGTTTGTTGGGGTGCATGTTTGTCTTGCTCATATAGCCTACGCAGAAACAGAAGAAAAGCATACAGAAATACTCCTGTCCAAAGCTTGCTGAAAGCCTCCTCTCAATTATTAGTCAAGCTTTTTAGCTCAATCTTCAAGCACAGAGAAAAATGGAAACTACAGCACTTTATTGCTTTGTCTCTTCCAAAACTGCATTTGCAAGTAAGCTTTCTAGCCTAAATTGTGCTTTCATTTACACCTCTGTCTCTTCAGTATGCAGGTATGTAAATAAGAACTCTCTGACTTTTTTAAGTGTTTCTTTGGTCTCAGCATAGATTTAATACTTGACAATTTATGGTATACTAGCAAACAATAACAGCAGGCCATCAAGGTGGCAGCCTGAGACTTCTGCTACTGTTGTTTATGTATTTAAAAAGCAAAGTAAAAGAAGTCTGCCAGTACTTACCAGTTGTGCATAGCTAGTTGGAAGGTGCTGGGTGTAGTGCTTGTGTTACTTTTTATCTCCATTTTCCACCTAATCCACATCTCTCTTGTTTGTCACATAACCCTTGCTTCTGATACCTGAATTAAGATTGTTAATTCTCTGAGGAAAAAAAACCCTCTTCCCCACTCCCCCTGCCAATAAAAAGATTTCTGGTTATAAGGAATAAATTTGGCGTGTTAGTCAAGGGGCAGTTGTCTTTTGACATAAACACAGGATTAAGTTTTCTTCATCTAATCAAAACCGTCCATCTTGTATCAAGACAATAAGCATAGCCTGATGAATAAACAATGTGTAACCTCATTTCCCCAGACAAATATAGAGAACAATTTAAGGACCCATTTGCTTTAAACAAGAAGCCATGAAGAACTGTTTTCTAGGTGTTCCTGCTCTGGCAGGGGGATTGGACTAGATGATCTTTCGAGGTCCCTTCCAATCCCTAACATTCTGTGATTCTGTGACCTGTGAACTGGATCCTTTGTATTTCACATCCAATCATAATGTAACCAGCCGTTTTTGGATGCAGAACACAATATTTAAAAAAAAAAAAATATATATATATATATAGGAAAATGTGTATTCTAAAAACATAAATATCATACTTGGGAGGCAGCAAGAGCTTACTGTCATCATTTGTCATCACCAACATCTTTTTTTCCCAAATGTTTCAAGCGCTGTGGTACTTATCCTGCCTTTATAGAATGTTTGTTAAAAATCTGGTCTTTGCTTTCCAAATACAAATAATTCTTTTGGTAGCAGACAAGTGCATTATAGCCCTTAATCCAGAAACACCAGTCCTTTAAAATAAAGTTTTCACTGTAAATCTGGACTACAGACTCGTCTTTATGCTGATCTGGTTGAAAGATCTAGTCGCTGCTATAATATAAATAATAAAAATAAAACTTATTGAGCACTATTTCCACATCCCTTGTATTTTTTCCCTAAGTCAGACACGTTTTCCGTAGTTCCGTTAAGTTAGACACATTTTATCTCCTGTTAAAAAAATGAAACATACAGTGTTTCTGTGTGACACTCTACAGAGCTGCAAGGACACATTCACTTTGGGATGTGTCCTTGCAGCTCTAAGAAGGAATCACATAGCAAACCAAGAGAAAACCCCTGAGATAGTAAGATAAAACATCAGTCAAACATTGCAGGAATTCTGGGGGAGACTTGCAGAATAGTTCTAAATATTTTAGGAATCCAGTTAAATTGTGCAACCTCACAGACAGCTCCTCTGAGCAACAATAAAATACATACCACTTCTCAGAAGAACCCAGCTGCCAAGGCACTGGAAAGTTTCCAAAATGGAAAGACAATTTGTTCTTGTGAAATATCAGGTTAGGTGTCACTACACTCTTGATGTATATCTGATGGTTCAGAAATGTAATTCTTACTGCTGTGATCTGGGTAATGCTTCTCTACTGTCTTACAAAATGAAGACCCTGTTCCCTGTGATCTTCCTCCCTCCCAAAAGGCTACTCCCTGGAAGAAGCTGGAAGGGCTTATACCACAGACACCTGCATCTCACCATTTCTTGCCTGCCTGCACATCACAGATGTAAATTAAATGAAGACTGCAAGAGCAATTTTTTTCTCTCTGGTTAATAATGAATGGCAGAAATAAGATGTTCACAAACATCTCTTCTCCTGAAATGGAAAAAGCATTAGACGAAGGAGTAAACTGGAGCAAATAATTTATTTACACCTGTTTTAAGAAGTGTACATTTGTAAACTGTTAATATGAAGCATAAAAGCTGTATCTACAGTTTGCCTAACTAGTTCAGTTTAAGAGCTCAAGGTGCGAAGAAAAAAAAAAAAGAACAGCCTGCATTTATTAACTTAAAATAAACTAAGATAATATTTACTCTGCATTTAATAATATTACATGAGATTAGAACTATTCAGATGTGTTGAATTATTTTGATGAGTTATCAGCTGGCTCTGTTCAAGTGAGATTTCCCCAGGAGCATCCAAAACTACTCCTCGTTGATGTTCAGGAAGTGCTTTGTGGTGGTCTTTGACTCACCAGCAGGTGTTTTCCTTTAGCAATTGCTGGCATTTCCACTATTTGAAACAGCTGCTATCTTCTTCTGTGGAACTGGGCCTTTTTCCTCCTAAGCCATCCCACTATTTCATGTTTATAACGTATGGTAAGGATTATTCCAAGGATACAGACAAAAAGCAGGCTAAGTGCTATTACGCCCGTCTTTGCTTTCTGGAAATTCTCCCTGGCTGGAGGGGGTCCACTGTCAACGCTCCCTCCAAGTCCTTCCCATTCACAATATGGAGGAGCCCAGCCATACCTGCAGTGACAGTTCTTCCGATTGTTGCACACTCCTCTGTTGTGACACACTGTCACATTACAATCGTAGTTCAGCAGTGATATGCTGGTACATGTCCTGTTGATACAAAGCTTATCACTACCACATGGCGTGCCATCTTCCACAGCCCCCACGTCAGCTATTGGCATCCCTATGTGATAGTCAAGACCCCAACACTTTTTATCTCCAACAGGGGTTTGGACTAGTGTTACATGGTTCTGCAAGAAAGGCAACCTGTGTATGTTTTCACACTGGATCCTACCACATAAGATATTCTCAATACTGCATTTTGTAAAATGGATATTGTTACGAATACCACAATTCCCAAACCGGTCACCTTGAGTATTCACTGCTTTGAAGCAATCTACAGGAGCAGCCCTGGCTTGTTTGCCAAAGAGCTGCTGGCACTGTTTACTGTGGGAAGAACATTTTCCTCGATAGCAATAAGCACCATCTTTACAAGGAGTTCCATCTTGCATGTACACATCTGGTGGGCACTGAGGGGAAGTCCCATTGCAATACTCTGGCAGGTCACAGTTACCAGTACTTGCTCTGCAGAGCGTTCCTGCTGGAAGGACCTGACAGCTCTTGCAGCACTTTCCAGAAGCACAGACTGAACCTGCAGTAAATGTACAGTTCAGATGACAACAAGGATCCTTTCTGCAGTTTGATTCTGATCCGCAGTCACATTGCTCTCCTCTTTCTACTACCTTATTCCCACAATATTCACGCTTCATGGTATAGAAAGTGCCAGGTGCTGGTGGTTGACGAATGCAGCTGGCGCCACGCCCAAGCAGATCAAAGTAGTCTTTGTAACTGCAGTCACTGAACGCATCAGTGTCAGCTTCACTTTCATGCATAATGCATTTCTTCCGTCTGCATTTACAGCCCTGTCCATCATGGCGCATCCCAAGACCATGGCCCAGCTCATGGACAAATGTGATAATAAATGAGGACAACTTCCTATCAGTGAAGGAAGCAACTGCTGATGACCACTGGTTATCACACATGGACCCCAGATACGCCAATCCCAGGCTCTTTCCAAAACTCTGAAATGCAAATAAGTGAGCAGTATCATGGCGCATTCGTGGAGACAGGTCTGACTTTCGCCATTTGTTAAAGTCGTCAAGTACCTTGCCAACAGAATTTGTAATGTTTATAAGGTTGCTTTCGGTCCAGATCTCCAATCCCACAAGAAACAGCTGAACAGAAAGCTGTTCAAACAGAGAGTCCCCAATGTTGATGACTTCTATGACTTGCCTCAAGACTTCAGATTCGTTCCTGCCCGACTTCACAAACCGCACATTATCCACAACCACTACTATCTTCACATACCTGGTGTGCGTCCACCAGTCCTTCAGCATCTCCTCCTCCCTCTCTGCCCAGGGGGCCTTGAACCAGGGCAGTAAAGCCTCTTGGTGCTGCAGCTCCTTCAGGGTCAGCCCACAGGTGGGACCCACAGGGCTGTTGGCCTCCTCCACGCGGTAGAGGACGTGTCGGAAGGCTGGATCGTCAGGGATGGGCTTGATCTCGTAGGTGCCATCCTCCACCCAGAGCATGCCGCGCAGGCCCCTTCCACAGGTGCTGAGGGCCACCAGGGAGCCAGGGCTCCCCTGCACCTCGCCCTGGTAGAAGCAGCTGTCCTGCACAAAGGGGTGCTCTTCCCAGCGGGCTCCATCCTTGCTGTAGGTGACCAAGGTGAAGGGGTGGGAGATCAGGCCCCTCCTGGGCCGCAGGCGCAGCATCCATGGCCGCCCCTCCACCTCCAGCCAGTAGGAGACAGCCAGGGGGTTGCTGTCGGCCCGGGGGCTCAACTCCCGGGGCACTGTCACCCAGGTGGCAGTGACCCGCAGATCCCCAGACAGCTCCTCCAGGGCGGTGAGGCACCCCACCAGGCCCAGTAGCACCTGAAGCCCCAGCAGGAACTCCATTGCTGCTGTCCGTTGCTGTCCCACACCTGACTTTGTGAGGGGATGGAGCCTAGAAGAGCCCTTCCCGGGGGAAACTGTCCTGCGGCCTCCAACCGCCCCTCAGCAGAGAGGGCCACAGCTGGGGAGGGGCAGCATCATGGCCCCCTTCACCTTCCCCCTGTGGAAACAGCGTCCCGCTGCCTGGGGGTACAGCTCAGAGGGCTGTGAGGATGCCTTGAGACATCCACCTCCTGCTCTTTGAGCATGTAGAGGCTTTTGTGGGGAGGAGCAAATAAATTAGCCTACCACAAGCACATTCCCAGCTTTTTATAATCTTCATTTTCAACTTAATGCATGTTTCTCCTTCTGAGCAGACATAGTGAGGAGGGTCCCTCTCAACCCCTCATGCCCCATGCTCAGCACCAAAAAGACTGTAGTGGTTTCATTTGGCTAGCCACCAAACACAGCCATTTGCTCACTCCTCCCACTCCAGGGGATAGAGGAGAGAACTGAGGACGAGGGCAAGGAGACTCATAGGTTGAGATAAGAACAATTTAATCATTTAAATAAAATAAGACTTAAAATAATAATTATATTAAAATAATAATGATAATAATAGTAATGAAGTATGCAAATGAGTGATATCCAGTGCAATTGCTCACCACCCGCTGACCAAGCCCGGCTCGTTCCTAGACAACGATCCTGGAGGAGCGACAATCCCAAACTGAAACCATAATCCTGGAAGAGCGAGAGCCCAAGCGAAAGCCAGATAGAGCAAAAGAGGAAAAGACACTCACTAATATAGTGAACATTATATTACACAATATGGAATATCCCATTGGCATATCCAAATGCCAATTTAGCTTATTAATTTAAATATTCCTTGTCCTCCCCGAGACCTTGCACTTGTAGACTAATAAAACACTAAGTAAGTCCTTCACTTCTACTGACAAAAATGAAAACACTGGTATGTAATCAATATTTTTCTCCTAACAAATCCCATGCCAAAACCCAAAACACAGTGCTGTTCTAGCTACTAAAAAGAAACCTAGCTTGGTCTCACCTCAAAACCAGGACATCAGCTCAGCTTCACACTCCCTGTCATGCTGAGCAAAGGGATCATTTAGTTACACCACAAGGGGGAAAATCTGTTTTAATAGCTCAAAGGCTGGCTTTTGCTTAGTTCACTTTTTTTATTAAAGGGTAATTTGTGAATGGAGATCAGGAACAGACTATTTCAGCTCAAAAGAATATTTGTAAAAGCTCGGGGTCTGAAATGAAGAAGTACAAAAGTATTAGTCTCGTAGCTGGTTACTAGGACATAGCACTCCTTGGTGCCCTTTCTTAGCATATGCCTTAGGATAGCTACTACAGCTATGCACACAAACACCAAGAAAAAAGGTAGAACCAGGGAGGAATTCACTTGCACAACGTTCAATAACACAGAGGCAAACTAATAGCACCGAGTATAAAAGCATAAAGCCTATCTATGCCACAGCTGCTACATACCTACAGCCATGTGCCTTAACTACAGACATCACCGATGCAACAGCCATTTTTCCACATCATGGCCTTTCTAAAAGTTTGTGTTTGCAGAGCACTGGGAAGAGAGTTTACAGGTACATCTGATACTTGGCTGCCATCCCTCTTTTAGGGAACAGCTCCATCAAGACACAGCTTTAAGGCAGTGATCTGGACTGTGCTAAAACAGGATGCCCTGCGCAGCACAGCTAAGCACATTAGTTTTGGCACATAATGCTAGGATTTGACGTAGCCACAGCTGTTATCTTTTGGGAACTCTTCACAACATTCTTTTCAGCACTGAAAGCATGCCTGGAATGAAGTCCAACCTGCCGTGGCTCTTATCTTTCACAGCTGCAGGAGGTACACCCTCCCACCACCACATCTCCATCTCAGGGATCTTGCCTTTCAGCACCAGTTTCTGGGTGCTGATCATCACTCTGTTACCAACAGTTGTCCAGAGGGGCTTCAGATTGTGAACTGGCACCTTGCTCATTCATCCCAAGTGTGGCCAGCTAAACTACTGTAGTAGTGTACAGCTTGTAATATAGTACCTTAAAGGAATGAAAACAGAACGCCTGTTGCTAGTAGGATCCTTCTAGGTATCAGTCAATAAAGTTCTAGATATCTATAACTGTGTATTGTTTTACCTAAAAGTGGACAAACTCAAGACCTGTGTTAGCCTTAGATTTATTTTCTTATTATTTTAATTTTAAAATTATAGAAACTATTTTCTGTGAAGTCTTTTATGTGCAGTTTTGCATTCCAGGGCTGTGAACTACTTCAGATTATGCCTTCTGAAATAAATGTAACTCAGACCACAATAACAGAAAAATCCTTTTACATAATCTTTGTGAGAAGTGCCTGTAGCACTACTTTTAAATGCATACTTCTGCTGTGTGACCTCTCCTTAAGTTATAGAAAAAGCCCTACTAAATCACTCTGCCATCTTGCTAGAGTCACATCTTACCTCCCCCAGAAGTTGCCTACTACTTTCTTTCTCTTTTAATATAAACACAACTAGTTAGGACTAGAAAGTACTCTCGTTCAATTGCTGAACTCAGAGCAGGTTATTCTTGGGGGGAAGTGTCAACGTAAGTTTGCGACGCTGTTGAGCCCCTTACGCAAACTCTTCGGCATCATGGTTACATGAAATGGGATGACACTGTTGTGTTCAGCTTACCAGAGCACCTCTGTAGTCTGATCAGGTAAAGATCAGAGGGGAGGGAAAGATTTCCATTATACGACAATGAACAGGTTGGAAGAAAAAAATATTGACCTTACAGCAGAGCAGAGAAAAAATAGCTCAGCAATCTGTAGCTACTTCAACTGCAGAAGACTTTGTTTAGCAGCTGTAACTGGCTTTCTCATGATTCATCAGTGTTTTGCAATTTTTTTTATTTTTTTTTTCAATCTTGTAGCCCCCTAAAATTTCCAGTGAAGGTGCAAGCTCCTATAGAATTGAATCCTACCAGCAAGAGGTTTCCCTTTCTCACCTTCTGTTGAGTCTTTAGGAACACGTCACAGACCCTCAGCAGCCTTGTGGACCATCATTTGAAATCCACTGTCCTGGCAGAAAGAAATTAAGCCTTCTGATTGCTGAGAGATCAGTAATAAATCATAACTCATCCTCCTGGGAAAATTTCTCCCCACCAGCCATCCATCTATGATTGACATTAGGCTACAGAAGCACACTTGTTACATAAAGTGACCATTTGTTTGTTCTGTGCATGATTCCAGGACCAAAGCAACACTTTACCAAAAAATCACCTTCCTCTCCAAGAAAAAAGAAAAATTGTCTTGAACCTTGAATGCCTAGTTACCATAATTTGCTTTGCCACTGGAAAAAAATATTGAAAAAAAATGGAACTAGCGTATCACATCAGCTTTTGTTCAGAAGCCATCTGTCAGTTCAGTGAAGCCACAGCCTATTTGCATAACATATCTTCTCCATTTGTCGAACAGGGAACCTCCATGTCTCAAAATAAAGCTAATCTCTCCCCTTCACCTCGTCCTTCTTAATGCCTACAGACTACTAACCTTGCTCAAAGTACAGCTTGCTTTGGCAAACAACACATACTGACTGTCCAACACATACTGACTGTCTAAATGGCATCTAACTTTCTTTGATAGGAAAAGGTTACCAGAATACAAAGTATGGGGGTAGAATGGCAAAGAGGAACTGGCAAGAATAACATAGTCTGGTCAGATCTTAGTGAAGGGTTAAAAAACAGTAATTCTGCTGCATCTGAGACACCACTAGCTTTACACAGTAAATTGAGGTAGCTAGAATGCCCCTCTTCCTACAATCTGGCTAGATTTTTGCATGTATGCGTATCTGTTCATGTGTGAACACACATTTATATGTACTTTCAGGCTCTCAGGAGAATGTTTCTAATAACAGTTCTAGGTCATTTTTAGCTCCTGCTACCCCATGGTTTGGGCCAAGCAAAGCCCTTTTGAAGTCTGCATGGTTATTATCTAAGAGCAAAAGTAAAGATAGCTCCCCTGTACAACCAAATCTCTCCTTTCTGCAAAAGAAAGTGACCATGGGGCAAATTTCAGAACTGTTTACATATTTCCCTTTCATCTATAAGCTTTACAAATACTGAAGGCCCTTTGAAGAACTCTGGACTTCAGCACTCTGGCTCCGAACCAAAAGACAGTGTATAAAACCAGAGAGAAAAGGCTTAGAGTCTCATACACTGAGAATCATGTCTGACTGTAAGATAGCTGCTTAACAGTTTTTTGACAGTAAATTACTTGGAGTTTAACAGTAATATATGACATAATGTCACTTGAGTAAGTCAGTATCACAGCTCACTTAACTGATAAAATTATTTTAGAATATCTTGTCAGCAAGTAACAGGATCAGAAGATATTTCAGTCCCCCATTCCCTTATATGGCAAACCTTCAGCATTGAAGGACAGCTACTAGCAAATCGACACACTCATCTGTAACATCCCTTGCTGCTTTATAATACAATCCTCTCAGGAAAAGACCATTCCCCTGGAAGAAGCTTATCACAGTTGCATTCATTGTTTCATGCATGGAAGCCATTTTCTATCCTCTCACTAGGTTCGATGCTGGCACTTCAACTCAGTGGGATCAGACCTGAAGTCCATCCTTTTTCATTTCCTTTGACACCAGCCAATACCAAACATTTCTGCAGAAAACAAAAAGGCTACTAAGAGATGCAGACGTAAGGCCAGTCTGACCCTTTAAGTTCCACTCTCATCTCTGAATCAGCATGAATTCCAAGCATGGAGTATAATAATACAGTCTATATGTAACTCCAATTCAGCTTCATTAACTTGGCCCTCTATTCTTGTACTGCAAGACAGAACAAGACTTCTCTACTTTCCTACTTGCTTTGCAGTACTCAGTTTTATAAAGTCTCAGTATTTGTCTTTTCTTTCCTAAGGAACTAAAGTCTTGCTCCTCCCAGTGGCTTCATAGGAGAAACTTCCTCATACTCCTTTTATTGTCCTTCTTTAAA